AGTTTGTTAAGAACTATAAAAATGGAGTTTTCACAACTCTTTTGGTGGCTCAAAACCAGCCAGTTTCAAATTTCTCCACATCCAAAAATCACATGTAGAAAGAAATGTTTCATGTCTGAACTTGAAGTGCCAGATTTCCATGGTCTGGCAGACAGAGAATGATTCAGAGGTTTAATGTTTCCTTGCAGTTAGCCTCATATAGCTCTTGCAGTGCTTAATAGGTGACTCACAGCTCTGTCTCCCCCATTTTGTTGTGTTTTTTTAAAGGAAAGTTCAGGAAATCTTACAGAAAGCTATGATTCTAGGAATAGTGAGAGAATGCAGTCCCTCCAGTTCAACATCAGGGGAAGGCCTCAGCCTCTGTGCACTGTAGTTGGACCTCCAGAGGAACTGGTTGGCCACTGTGTGAGACAGGACCACGGGTCTGATCCAGCAGGGCTCTCTTTATGTTCTTAATTTTTCCAAGCACCTAACCTTACTAAATCTTGTGCACATATTAGATTGGGCAGGGATACAAAATACCACGTGGTATTTAAGATACTTCATCTTGTGCTTCAGTCACAATGCATGGTAACACCCAGGGCTTTTTTTGTAGAAAAAGCCCAGCAGGAACTCATTAGCATAATAGGCCATACCCAACAGCAGGAAATCATTAGCATATTAGGCCACACCCCTGTGTTACCAGAAGTGTGGTCATCCAACCACACCTACCTTTTGCTTCTTATTCTGTTTACCTTGTTTGTTGTCAAAACCCAGAGCTTTTTTTTGGAGCAGAAACTCCTTTGCATGTTAGGCCACACACCCCTAATTGTAGCCAATCCTAATGAGTTCCTGCTGTTGGGTGTGGCCTATTATGCTAATGCGTTCCTGCTGGGTGTGGCCAACTTGGGAGCCAGCCGGAACTCCGTTCCTGTGAGTTACTGCCCAAAAATAGCCCTGGTAACACCACTATGATTTGATACCAACTTATTTCATCTGAACAGGAAAAAGCTGTTAAAGAAACGCCTAGTCCAGGTAGTACAAAATATCTTCAAAATGGGGGGGAAATCTTCTCACAAAAAAGAACCTACCAATCATAGGTATAAGCCTAAATATAACTATTTGGAAGAAAGTTCCACTGAAATCAATAGGCCATGATAAGGAAGCAAGTCTGACTTTGGCTGTAATTCCCTTTCTGCAATTTTTTTTTTGCCTGATCCCATGCAAATATGTCCCACTGTCCAATGGGGATTATTCCCAAGTCACCATTAAGTTCTTTTATCCCAATCAGTCATCTTTGATATCAATAAAATTTCAGCATGGACACTGAGAGCAGCCTATGTTTTAAACATAAGCAACAAGAATATTTGTTCATCAAGGCGACTCCAAAGACCACTTGACTTCACTGGAGTCTGGACTACAATTAGCCGGTCTTTGTGCTGTATGGTTAGATGGATTTTTAAGATAAAGCATAATTGACTGTGGAATACTGCCCTTGAACAGTGCTGATTCCATTGTAGACTACCAAAAGGAACCCATTCTCTCTTATTTTTAGTAATTAATCCTTGGCTCCTACTGATATGTACTGTCTCCTGAACTTCTCTTGCCCATCTCTTAAACCAGTGAACAATCTTTTAGATAGCTTACCTGCTAAGTCATGATTTATTCGTCTCCCAAGTTCTTTAGCTAGAGCTGCGGTGGCTGAAGTGGTTAAGACGCTGAACTGCAGGCTGTGGAAGGTCAGTAGTTCAGCAGTTCGAGACCCGGGTGCCGCATGACGGAGTGAGCTCCCATCTCTAGTTCCAGCTCCTGCCAACCTAGCAGTTCGAAAGCAAGAAATTGCAAGTAGATAAATAGGGACCACTTCGGTGGGAAGGGAACAGTGTTCCGTGCACCTTGGTGTTTAGTCATGCCGGCCACATGACCATGGAAACGTCTTCGGACAGCGCTGGCTCTTCGGCTTTGAAACGGAGATGAGCACCGCAACCCTAGAGTCAGATTCAACTGGCTTTCGAGCAAGGGAACCTTTACCTTTACCTTTTTAAGTTCTTTAGCTCCCATGAAAAATCTTTAAAATCCATTTTCATTGCATTTTTAAGTCTTAAAAGGTATGTTTTAAAATTAACATATTACATTTTCTATGCATACATGCAACACATTTTACAGGTACCCATGTGTTTTTGACAGTGTGTGCACAAGAGCCAGCTGAAAAGCAAAAATGAGGCGAGGACTGTGAAAGTGCCTGGATTGACAGTGGGTTGCTGCCACATCTGTAGCTGTGGGAAATACAGTTGCTGCAATCCAATGTGTGAAGCATACTTCCAGAGTGTAGACCAGTCTGCATGCATGACATAATTTTTTTTTTTAAAGTTATCTTCGGCAACAGTCAGCTAAACAGCTAAACAGTACTTGAATTCTGACTCAGACAAGATACAAAGACAACTGTTTCATCTTACATAACTTCTAAAATTTTAATATGCAGGTTGCTGCATATTGTTCTTCCAGCAACCATTCTGTCAGTTCTGTACAGTTATTTTGACGCGTCTAATAAATTCAGATATGCCTACCTAAACTGAAAGCAGACTGACATCAGTTTACAGGCTTGTATGTAGCATAGCTGTTGTTTTACTCACTGTATACCATTATTTGCCAGAAAAATTGAAAGATGCCATCTTTCTACTCTCCGCCAACTAAAACACAGTGCCATTACCAATAATGACACACCACAAGCCCTAACCCTAGTTGTCCAGCAGTTAGAAGAAGAAGAGAAGAGATTGGATTTATACCCCGCCCTTCACTTGTAGTCTCAGAGCGGCTTACAACTCCTTTCCCTTCCCCTCCCCACAACAGACACCCTGTGAGGTGGGTGGGGCTGAGAGAACTCTGACACAAACTGCTCTTTTTCAAGGACAGCTGTGCCGGAGCTTGTGACTGACCCAAGGTCACATCAGCAGGTGCAAGTGGAGGAGTGGGGAATCAAACCCAGTTCTCCCAGATTAGAGTCCCCACACTTAACCCACTACACCAAACTGGTGTACATGCTCAAATGTATTCTGAGCAACGCTCCCTCTAAGCTGTGGAGTCTTGTGAGCAAAAATTCTATTTTGTGAGCTACTGCATCAATTAGTTTGCTCCGGAGCCATCCCTTCCTGAGCTGAGACAAAAATGTGCAAGCTAGAGGCCAAAAAACTGTGAGCTGGCTTAGAGGGAACAATGATTCTGAGTATCAGATTTGCACAACCTCCAGACTGTCAACATTGTACAGAGATTCTAGAACTAACGGTGAAATCCATCCATACTTTCAAGCTAAGGTTATCAGCCTCAACGCCTGTCCTCCAGTTCTCCCAAAGTTACAACTGCTCTCCCAACTCCTACAAAAAAGGGCAGCTTTGGAGAACAGACTCAGTCTATAGCAGGGGTGGCCAAACTGTGGCTCGGGAGCGGCACGCGGCTCTTTCATACATACTGTGTGGCTCCTGATTGGTCTTCCGCAGCCAGTGTTCCCTTCCCTAGGTAAGCTTGAGGTGTGTGGGGGGGGGAGCACAGAAAGAAAGCAACTTTAACTTTAAACGTGTTCTGAAAGCCCCCCAGCCGGCTTGGAGAAGGCATTTGTCTCTTGGAACCCCTTTGCCAAGTCAGCCAGTGTGGGGTTAGGGGCTTGGTTGTTTATTTCTATCTTCCCACCTCTTCCTTCCTTCCTTCCTTCCTTCCTTCCTTCCTTCCTTTCCACCTCTCTGTCTCTCTCTCTCTGACAAATAAATATAATTAGCAAACAAATAAATATCATTGAACAAATAATATCATTATCAATACCTGTTTTTACCCCTTTTGTTTTTATTCTTGGCAGTCCCATTTAATGTTAATAAAAAGAAAATTTGCATATCTTTCAATAAAAACGTGTGCGTAATATTTGTTCATGTCTTGCGGCTCTCAAACATCTGACGTTTATTCTATGTGGCTCTTACATTAAGCAAGTTTGGCCACCCCTGGTCTATAGTGTCACATCCCATCCCCAATTAGCACCCTTCCTGAACTCCATCCCAGGAAACACCCTTAAATCTCCAGGAATTTCTTCAGGTAGAGTTGGCAACATCAAGTCCAAACTTCAATGTCCAACCCCTATGCACGCTTTGTCTCTCTGAAAACCTTCATCCTGCGATTGTAAGCAAGAACAGCACCGGTGGCGCCAGACTCAAATATAATCTATATGTAGCTACTGCTACTGTCGCCAGGGATGAACCTGCACCCAGCCCGCTTAAAAGGTAAAGGTTCCCTTGCTCGAAAGCCAGTCGAGTCCAACTCTAGGGTTGCGGTGCTCATCTCCGTTTTAAAGCAGAAGAGCCAGCGCTGTCCGAAGAGGTTTCCATGGTCATGTGGCCGGCATGACTAAACACCAAAGGCGCACAGAACGCTGTTCCCTTCCCTCCGAAGTGGTCCCTATTTAGTAAAGGTAAAGGTTCCCTTGCTCGAAAGCCAGTCGAATCCGACTCTAGGGTTGCGGTGCTCATCTCCGTTTCAAAGCCGAAGAGCCAGCGCTGTCCAAAGACGTTTCCGTGGTCATGTGGCCGGCATGACTAAACACCAAGGCGCACGGAACGCTGTTCCCTTCCCACCGAAGTGGTACCTATTCATCTACTTGCAATTTCTTGCTTCTGCTCGGCAAACAGGTCAAAGCGTGGACCTTCTGGGTTACCAAGCAAGGGCCCTTCCAAGCGCGGTAGACCACTTTTTATGGGACGTGCAAACGACTGCTTTCGGGGGGACGCCGCCAAATCCCGCCGACCAAAGATACTGCAGGCTGCCATTTGTTTTCACTAGGGAAAGTGTGGCCCGCGGCACGCCAGATCACATGACCTCGAGGCGGGTGAGACCTCGACGCTCAAACTTCGTCCTGCTGATTCCGACCGACGCCGCCATCCACCTCGATCTCTCTTACTGCCCCCCCCCGTCCCCCCCCCCAATAACCTGGCCCCGCCTCCCTTCGCCCCCGCGGCGCTTCCAGCCAGTCGTGGAGAGGAAGGCGCAGAAGGCCGGGCTGTAGCCTGCTTTGGCTGGACGGGCAGCGCAGCGAAGGCGGTTCCTTGCCTGGCAATCGGAGGGCGGGTCGTGTCTCAGCGGTAACCAGGAGGCGGCGGAGCATCCTCTGCCTGCTCGCCAGCCGGGCACCGGATACGGACGGTAGGCAGGAGAAGAAGAAAGAGAGGCCCGTTTCTTCAGGGCTCGTGGGTTGGAGGAGCCCAGGAAGACGCAGGTATCTGGGAAACAAACAAGCCGGCGGGAAGGTTGGAGAAGGTGGCTGGGGCGCGCGTCTGGAGCCGGTTGACACGAGAGTAGACCGCGTTGGGCTTGCTTCCGGGCAGGGTGGGTCTGGAAGCGGACCCTTGGCGCTGTCGCTCTGAGCCCATCAGATGCTTGTTAGGGGCCAGTGTTCCCTCTAAGCTGAGTTAGTGTGAGCTAGCTCACAGTTTCTTAGCCTCCGGCTCACCCATTTTTGTCTTCGCTCAGGAAGGATGGCTCCAGAGCAAACTAATCTATGCAGAAGCCAAATCGCCCGCTCACAACTTTAATGCCAGTAGCTCACAAAGGAGAATGTTAGCTCATAAGACACCAAAGCTTAGAGGGAACATTGGTTAGGGCTCTTGGGGAGAAGGTTTCCCACGTAGCAGGAGGACTGTGTGGTAGGCGAATGATTCTTCCTGCGACGAGTGGCACAGTTCCCATGTGGGATCTCTCTCGGTGGATGCCTCCCAGCTGACTGCGTGCGCGGCGGGTTCCGCGGGTGTGGTGTAGACTGGGTTTCTCCTGCTTTCCGATGGTGGTCCACTGCAACATGTCTCTCTTAGTGAAGTAGCCCAGCAGCAGCAGCAGTGGAATTTTCTGTTCCCGAGGCTAACTGGGGAGGCATCTGTTCCAGTTCCTAATGCAGGCATCGTGCTCTCTTTTTTGGCCCTCAAGTCACAGCTGACTTGTGGCGGCCCCCTGGGGTTTTCAAGGCTCAGAGGCAGGCCCATGGCCAGGATTTCTTAATTCAGGGGGGCTTTAAATAAGTCAGGGGGCACTGATAAAATAAAATAAACCCACACTCGCAGGCAGGAGCAGGGTTATTTCCCCTATTGTGGAGGGTGGGTGTAAGTGGAAGTCAGTGACTGACACCCAGTAACCTGAGGAGGATCCCCTCCTCTCATTCCCCCCCGCAACCACATTGGCTGTGTGGAGTGCAGGGAACTACGGCAAAAGTGGCGGGCTCCTGTTCGGGTCC